CTGCTGAAGATCCCAGCGCTGCGTTCCTTGTGCTGAGGATGCACCCGGGCCTGGCTTGGAGGAGCTGTGGGAAAGTGGCTGTGCTGCTGCACCTCACACAGGGTTCTCTTCCCAAAACACTCCTGACAGGGCACAGAGCCCTGTTAAGCATTTGCCTCTTTGAGCAAACTTGCACTTGTTTTCCGTAGCTGCAGCCGGAGAGGAATTCTGTGTTCTCCTCGATAATTCAGGCTCTAAGCTCTGTGCCTGTTGGGTTGTGGAGCGGTGTGATGTGTCTAGCAGCGCCTCAGGTGATTCAGTGAAACTCTCTTTCCATGCCATCAGGATTATTTGGACCATTATCTCGGGAGGTCCTAGACCAACACATCAGCGTTCTGCCTCTGTATTAGGGATTAATAGCTCAGGAACGGAACTGAATAAAAGTGCTGATTTACAGCTTACTGAACGCGTTGTAAACTCGGTTTATATGCTCTATTAAAAAGAGAAATGTAATGCAACTGCACTGTGACATTCTAAGGTTTTTATTTTAGTGGATTTTACCATTTTTAACTTAATAGATGCTCAAATTCGAATGTGAGTGGGAGGAGAAAGAATTCCAAGGCTGACAGAACTACTCAGCTTTTCCAGGGCTGTTTTGAAGTTGCATCCCTCACTCTTCTGTCTGCTTGGCAAGGAGTGTTCCTTGCTAAGGGACATTGTGAAGAGAAGAGAAGCTGCTTTAATGTGTAAATCTGACAAAGGTCAGCTCATGTTCCATGGCAGCTCCAGTCGTACAGGGAGAGGGGACATGCTAAGTGGATAGTCCTTGGCTCTTGGCAGTGAGTTGTAAGCCACAGATGGAACACAGGATTAAAGTGATCTGAACTTTAGTATTCTGAAACTGGGCTTTGAGACTGAAGGTCAGTCTTTTCCTGTTGGATGCACTGGATGTGACCAAAGGTGTAACTTCTGTGGTCACACAGCCGTGTGTGGTGGGAGTGGATTTGTGGCAGCAGCCTGGTGCTGGCAGAGTGTGTTTGCACAGCAGTGTGAGCTCCTTGCTCTGGACAGAGGCTGAAGAGCTGGCCAGGCTGGAGGTGGGTGCCTGACAGTGGTGTCCATTTCCAGTGCCATGACAACCAGTTCAGAAGCAATAATGGAGCAAAGGGGTTTTCAGGCATTCGTCTGTCTCTATTTAACTGGCTGTTGTTTATTGAGTTTGCCATCTGGTTTGTCTTTCCACTAACAGCACATCTGCAGACAGAACCATCCTTAAGAGCACATCATTCAGTACCTAATTTTAAGTGGATAATTTTGCTTTCAAAAGGAATTAGAAAAATGCTGGATCAATTCCTTGAAAATGGAGAACATGAGTGCTCTGTATTCTTTCTATTTGTATGCCTAGACTTTTAGATTTACTACAATTTTAGTACTTACAGCACAGGACTAATACATAAATTGCTGCTGAGGTTGAGCAGCTCTGACAGTGGAGACTCTCCTATGTGTTCTGTAATATTTCTATTCCTGTGGTTTAAACTGAGATCATTTGTCTTCAAGGTCATCGAGCTTATCCTCGTCCCAGGCTGATGTGTTCCCTTCCTCTGTAACCAGCTCTGCCAGTGAAGGGACATGGTTTGCAGCAAGGAAAAATCCCTGGAAACAAGGTTGTTTTTTGCAGGGTTTGGTCCTGGTGCTCTGCAAGGAGACAGTCCCTGGAACAGCTTCCAGTTTTCTCAGTGCAAATGTGAAGATTTGTAATGTTTTCCTCCTCACAGAAATGAAAGATGTGGTTTCTGTTCAGTCTGCCTCACCCAGTTATTTATCTTTTGATAAAGTTTGGTGCTGAATTTCTAAGATCAAACATTTACATTGCAACACTGGGCACCAAGTCAGTTGCTGGTGTCAGTGTGTGCACCCACAGCTGTCAGGTAAGTGCATTTGCTTTGAAAGAAAGGACATAAAAAGGAGTGCAGGGGGAAAGGAAGTGTTTGCTCAGTTTTCTTTTTGTGTTTTCTCATGTCAACATGCAATTTACTTCCTTAAAATTGCTGGTGTAGGTTAAACCTCGGGAGATGTCTTTAATTCACAGGGAAACAACTGGTTGAGCCATGTGTCCCCCTCAGTGCTGCTTAGTGCATCCTGTTGCTTCACCCCAAGTCCCCACCCAAGCACAAGTTCCAAGCCCTTTGGTCTTCAGGGCTCACTCAATTCAGCACAAGTCAATAACTTTTGAAAATTGCAGTTTAAGATCTGGGAAACTGCTCAGAGGCACCAGCATGGCAGGGCAGAGGGCTGGACAGCTATAGCCTGTGCTGCATTAGTTGTGTGGGCAGAGGACAGACCTCACTCTTGATCAGAAGTCTGGTAGCAGCCACCAGAATTAAACTGATCTGCTTGTTTCTGCAAAGGCTCACAGGTGGAGTTCACAGTGCGTGGTGCTGTGTCGTGTTCTCAAGGGTCCCTGTTGCAGAGGTGAGTCCAGAGGCACGGGCTGGCCTGGCACTGTGGGCTCAGTGAGTACAAGCTCTGCCCTTCTCTTACCTTCAGCTCAGCTGTGGTAACTTACACAAACTGAAGACAGGGCTCTGAGCCACCTGGTCTAGTTGAAGAGGTCTCTGCTCATCGTGGGGAAATTGGACTAGGTGAGCTATCAAAGCCCCTTCCAACCCAAACCATTCTGTGATTCTTTACGCTGCAGAAAGATCCTCCCTCCTTCATGATGTGAAATTAGAGAGCTCCTGAACATTGTTCATACATCCTCTTGCCACACAGCCAGGACAGATGATCACCCAGAGACAGCACTGCTGCCTGTGCCCTCCGTTCCCACTGCATTGCAACATGCAAAGCCTGGTGGTAGCAAACAGCCCAGCTGCATTCTGAACCATCAAGTAACCAAACAACTAGTTGTTAAATCAGCTCTTTGGACCGACATGGGATCAAAGCAGAGTTCATGTACTGATCGGACGCCCCAGACTGTTCTATTAACGTTTCAGGAATAAATACCTCAGGGTTTGTGTTGGTAGTTTTGGAGTAGATGAAGCAAACCGGTGGTTCAGCACTCTTTTTTATATCATCAGCAAGTTGATTTAAATTGACTGTACAGAGTTGGCTGCATTCCTCTCATGAGTTGCATAAAAAGTTTCAGAGTTCATGTACTGATCGGACGCCCCAGACTGTTCTATTAACGTTTCAGGAATAAATACCTCAGGGTTTGTGTTGGTAGTTTTGGAGTAGATGAAGCAAACCGGTGGTTCAGCACTCTTTTTTATATCATCAGCAAGTTGATTTAAATTGACTGTACAGAGTTGGCTGCATTCCTCTCATGAGTTGCATAAAAAGTTTGCTAAATCGCCAGAGCTGT